GAATAGAATAGAATAGAATAGAATAGAATAGAATAGAATAGAATGGAATGGAATGGAATGGAATGGAATGGAATGGAATGGAATGGAATGGAATGGAATGGAATGGAATGGAATGGAATAGAATAGAATAGAATAGAATAGAAGTGTCGGTACTGAAGAAATAGGCCCATGGCCTGTTGCCGATTCTTGTACTTTTCGTAATTGATAAAGATATATATTGATAAAGATATAGATAAGACATAGATAAACTTTTTTTTAACTCTTTATCTATACTTTTCGTATAGATAAAGAGTTCATATGTGACTTTAGACTCTTGCTTCGAAGTGGACAAGCAAGATGGATTTTCAAACAGTCATGTCTGAAATTTTATTGAGTTAAATTACACCATTGATGCCGTTCCCCGAGCACTACAGAACCTTAAGAAACAATTAAAAGTTGTTGATCGACTAAGAAGTAGACTACTGTTATTTCCTAAGAATCAATACTTGGCTTGACGAAAATATCATTCGATACATTTCATATTCTGTGTCTATTTAATGTGGAAATTTCAACCCATTAGCTGACCAACACTCCCCCTATCAGCCAGACTTGGTCGCTCCTCACACCTCCCAACATCCTGGGGCTGAAAGGCTCCGGCTCTTCCAAAGCCTCCCCGTCTGCTCAGAGCTCAGCTCAGATCCCGTCAACATTTCCCGCAAAGCTTCTCTCCCGCGACTCCTCTTTTTATGCATTCCCCCATCACCCTTCCTCCAAACCAATACGTCCTTCTCCTCCCAGAACGACCTCTCCTCTTTTTCTTCATTCACCCCACATCAACCCCTGATGTAGGAGGGCTGACCAAAGCTCAACGTTTCCCCTGTGATCCCCTGCTCTTTTTCGCTCCTCCCACCAACGAGATCGAACCCCATCCTCCCGCCCGGCCTCGCTCAACCGCCGCCGAGCACCTGGACACAGTCCGACGCCGGTATCCAGGATACACCTCGTGCCGGGGTGGTCAGGCAGCGGCAGCACGACGCACGGCGATGGTTAGGCAGCGGCAGCACGACGCACGACGATGGTTAGGCCGCGGCAGCACGACGCACGGCGATGGTCAGGCAGCGGCAGCACGACGCACGGTGATGGTCAGGCAGCGGCAGAACGACGATAGTTGGGCAGCGGCAGTACGACGCACGACGATGGTTAGGCAGCGGCAGCACGACGCACGACGATGGTTAGGCAGCGGCAGCACGACGCACGACGATGAGCAGCACGGTAGCGGCAGCACGACGCACGGTAGCACGTCGCACGACGATGGTTAGGCAGCGGGAGCATGACGCACGGTGACGGTTAGGCAGCGGCAGCACGTCGCACGACGATGGTTAGGCAGCGGCAGCATGACGCACGGTGATGGTTAGGCAGCGACACGACGATGCACGGCGAATGTTAATTAAGAAGCGAAAAAGCCGTACGTGTAGAAAGGTAGGTTACAACATCGTGCAATGCGATGGTTATTTAGCGGCAACAGCATGAATGGTTCGTTAACATCATTCGCCGAGATTATCAGCCACAGGCAACACATCACAGAGAAGTGTTTGGACACAAGAAGCGTCACACATCGGTGCGCTATACACACACCAAGGAGTAATGGCAGCTGTAGCGCTACATGTCAAAATTTATGGACATAGGCTGCAATACACGTCAAGATTTGTAAGCACCGGCAGCACCACACATCACGATGGTTAGACATCAACAAATCAACATGCCTTGATAGTTAGGCAGAGACGGCACACACGCCGGATGGTTCAACATCAGCAACACTAGTCGGCAATTTTAGACGGTATGCAGTGCGCACGCCAAGGAGTTCTTCGACGTGGTGAAACTAAAGACTCTTCAGAGGAATAACTCCAAAATGCCATGTTTGTCAGCTTCCGATGGTATGAATTTTTGAATATTCAGCCCTCTTATGACTACGCATATATTGAACGTCATCTACGCCATTCCTGACAAAAAGGACCGGGAAATACTAGTATTATCGTCGATGGAAGAAGGGCTAAGAAAAGCAGTGAACCTAAGTTTTGGTTGCTTCATTTTTATGTAGCGTGAAAGTCGTGTTCAGAAGAACTTTTTTGTGGGTTTATTTTAGGCATCAAGGTATTCCGGTAATTTGACTGGGAATTAGACTCTCCTTTAGCAGCAAGAATAGGATATAATACAGAACTACAGTAAATATATAACACCTAGCGTCAGTATATATTTAATCCAATATCATGTCAAATCACATTTTATTACAATGACTTATCACTACTTGCAACAGCAGCTCTGTCGCTTGGACATTATATATTTCATATACGGGAAAAGATGAGTATTAATAATGATAATAATTATCTTAAATTTGTGAACATGATGCTATACGTACTTTTCTTCCCTTCCATAACTCTGAGAGCAACAAGATTCCGCGCCGTTGACCTAACAACAAATCTCTTTAGCACCTCAAGAAGGACCAGCAATAGTTGTTGCTTCCCATGTCATGGCACATGAATGGCGCTTGAATGACCAAGCGTTCTTCGAAGTCACTTCAAGCGGCTTAGAAGCATTTCAATATCTTGATTATCCCAACCCATTTGCCAATTATCATTTTTTGAGTATTATTGTTATTATGGATTTTTTGATGCTTAGCATAATATACGTATTCTATTCAGTGTTGTTTGTTGTTGTAACATTCAGAATATATATAACGTGAAACGACGGAGGCTTTCGTTGATAAAAGCTTAAATATAACGCATTCATATTACGTTATCTTAAATTGAATAAAAATACAATTCTTGAACTCCATGCTTTTAAACTTGAAACTACGTATTGGATTTAGTTGGTATTTTTATGGCTTGACTGCTATACGAAGTTTGAAGGCCCATGGTTGCCATAGATACTCGAAATTCGCTTTGTTCTTAAATAACCGAGAGTAAATTGTCTTGCTCTTGAAATGATTCCAAGAAATAAATCTCGCATCGACTCTTAACTCAACTATTTCCTCGAAAGTCATCATCTCTCGAATTAGCGTAAAAAAGATGGTAATCGAAGATTAAAGATTACTAGTCAACGAGATTGCAAAGTGAATTAAATTACGACCCGTTTTCACGATACCAAACTACATTTTTTTATAAAAATCTTATATAGAGATTATTTCTGCAGAGATTATTTCTGCATCGAAAAGACGAAGTTTTCGTTAATCATGACGATTTTTTATCAAGTTTACGAAAAAAATACGAATTTTGCAGGCGTTTGCACTTGTAAATCAGAAATTGAAAAAAATAGAGAGAAATACTTAAAACTGGCGTTAGCTATTGCCCGAAGAGAATAGGGAGAAATAATAGAAGCAATAGAGCAATTAGGACGCTTCACAGCCCGCTGGTCGGACGGCAGCGCGCGACGGGTTGCGGCGATTACCGCGCCTCGCTTCCGCGCGTCGCTCATTTGCTGCAAATGAGCGGCAGCATTGCGTGCTCAGATATATTGGCAAAACATGGAAGCCTTTTGATGATTTCCAAATTCCGCACCAAAGCAAGTTCATTTTCCCTTTTCTGTACGCATCAGCGATGGTATCAAAGCGGAGCGAGCCTTTATATTAATTATATTTGCAAGAAAAAAAATTTAAAGGAAGAGGAAAAATGGAATGGATTTTTAATAGCCCTGAAAAGCCTATTTCAAATGCACCTAAAATGTTCATGGTGCTGATATTAATAAGATCTCTGCACCAGATTTCATTGCACTTTCAACTTCAACGTGAACTGACGTAAAATAAATAAAATAAAACGTGAATTATTCGCACCAGAACAAACATCAAACTTGAGATCGTTCAAACTGGTTAAATTCTTAAATAATGCTCCAAAGAATGAGTTCGATCAGAATCTAATGGCAATATAAACATTTCAATAATAAATTATCAATTAACCAATTTTTTAGGGGCCAAACACGACAAAAGTTAAATAAAAGACGTTTATTACTAAAAATATAGTCTACACATAACTAAATTAATTATTCTTAATTACGAAAAAAAGTATCACGCATTGAGAGCTAAATTTATGGCAATGGAATTTCGATATTGTTTAATCAACTTCACTAATAAACGCGGTGAAATTGAATTTCAAATCCCAAAGCAGATGACGTTGAACTTTTACAATGAGCGATGATTTGATTGCATAAAAATTGGAAATCCATTAAAGGCGGATAGCAAGAAGGTTGAAACATAAATTGTCTTCAATCAATCAAGACTTAATCCGAGAAGATGGCCACCACACCTGCGACTTTGATTAATTCCTTCACTGATTAATTGTACCGCATAGGACGATGCGTAGCTGTGCTACCAACCCATTGCTGCGCAGGTTTGTTTTACTGTCTAGGCCATGTCAATCGATATTAAAAAATGGCCGCAATTGGATGGGGTTTTATTATATTCACTAGGGATTAAGTTATAAGAAAACTAGTAATAGATCTAGTAGAAGGAATCAAGGGCATATTTATTTCATATATAGCTAGCTACTTTCATATTCATATCGGGGACCAAGCTTTCCTCGCCCAGCAAATTTTATTGAAGCCATTTTCATAACGAAATTAATTTCTCAACTATATTGATTGACTTGCGAACAAAGTAAAACTTATTTTCACTCAAATATATTATTATTATGTCCATTCCAGTACGGTCGAAATCAATTCACGTAATTTCATGCATGAACGTATCATACTAACAGTAATAAGAGTAACTATGTCTTATAAAAAAAACTACACTATCACGATGCTTCATTCGACTCTCTTAACTTATTTCATCTTTTGAAGCGCTGTAAAGCTCTAGCTTCCGACTAAAATGCTACTGTACAAAATTGCCTAACGAACAATGCACTTGAATTGAAAATCATGTGATTTGTGATTGCAATACATCGGACGTACGCTAAATTCAGTTAACAAAACTGAAGTTAACGCACAAGTTAAATCTTATAAGAGAACAAGCAAAACAATAGTAAGCAGACATGCGAGTCAAGACACGTCGAGTGCGTGGAGCAGACCATCACAGCAGACCATCACAGCAGACCATCGCAGCAGACCATCGCAGCAGACCATCACAGCAGACCATAACAGCAGACCACCGCAGCAGACCATCACAGCATACATCACAGCAGACCATCGCAGCAGACTATCACAGCAGACCATCACAGCAGACCATCACAGCAGACCATCACAGCAGACCATCACAGCAGACCATCACAACAGACCATCACATCAGCAGACCATCACAACAGACCACCACAGCAGACCATCACAACAGACCATCACAGCAGACCATCGCAGATCCATCTCGACATATGCAATTATAGGGGCCGCCTCATTACCGCAGGTCCTACAAAGCATTAACAGGAACAGCCGGGCGCTTATGGCGGCTAACTCTACAGTGGCACGTTCTCTCTGAACATTAATAATGTTGGTGTTGTATGTGGGGTTATGAGGACATATGCTGGTTGAAAGTACTAAGGGAAATTAGAAAAACGTTAAATTTATTATTTATTGACCTATTAAACGGATCAATATTTATTGTATTTTAGGTTTTTAGGTAATAGTCCCTTTGGATCAATATTAATTATGAACTGGATATTTTCATGAACAAAAAAAACTACCAAATCGCTAAGTGGAATTATGTGACAACGTTGGAATATAAAATCAGTCACAATAAGTTCTACGTAAATATCATATTAGTAAACGTAAAATCTTATCGTGAGGTTGAACAATAGAATAATTCATCACTCATACTGAATGAACATGAGTGCTTCAGTATGAGTGCTTCAGTATGAGTGCTTCAGTATGAGTGCTTCAGTATGAGTGCTTCAGTATGAGTGCTTCAGTATGAGTGCTTCAGTATGAGTGCTTCAGTATGAGTGCTTCAGTATAATTGCTAACACTCATACTGAAGGAAGCATGGCGTCCTCGCTCTTATCCACAAACAAGCGTCCAACAGACCCAACAACGTCATCGTTAAGAGCTGCCTGTCGCTGCCAAGTATAACGAGTCCTTCTTAAATTCAAAGAAACAAAGCAATAATGCGTGAATTCATTTGCCGCTTTCTCGTCGCTTGCTATCTTCAAACAGACTCAGTGTGGTTCAGTTCACATAAACATGTTCTGAGCCTTCGTTAAATGTGGTGGAAAATTAATTTCAAGAGAATTAAACAAGCATGAATGTTCTTAACCTATTTTTTGAGAGTGCTTGATCGTGTATTGCACGAAAGTTTGAATTCATAATATCATATTATTCAAATATATATCGCACATCAACGCAAGGCATTGATGTTTCTATGAGCTAAATATTTCCCATGTCACTAAAACGTGGCACCTTACAAGTAAAAACATGGCAGATAAAGTGAATTGCTTGATTATTCAGTACTCGTCAGATTATTCACAACAATTATTAGTATTAGTTATTGTGAAAAATCCTCGTTAAATTTCGTAATGTTAAGTGGAGTAGGCACAAAAAATTTATTGTGATGCCCAACGTACACCGCGATGCCGCTAGTTGAAGCTTATCATTTAATAGCTTGGATACGAGAAGTAAAATCTGCGTTTTCTAAACTCTGCCATGAGCGCTACGCGGCTAAGAGATTGCGTATAAAACCTAACGATTGGCGTTGCGATGACCGATAATTGAAGTAAGATCCCATGAAACTATTATCCACTGAATCCACCTGGTCTGCTTTATTAATGTAGTGCGAGTCCAGTGCGGGATATCCAGGAGAAAAGAGACGGGGGAAACCTTGCAAAGCGAGGCTGACATTACAGGTTAGTAAGTGGTTATATGTAGGAAAGATTAATGGAGTGAAACGCAAAGCAGACAAGGTAACAACCATAAGTCGAATTAAAAACGCTCAGTATTTATATGATCATCAATATTACGAACATTTCAATCGTAGATACATTGTCTATAAAAATTCAAATAAAACTATTATAGCATTGCTCAAATCGAACATTGTCTTCTGTTATCACGTATGCGTTGAGATTTATTTAAAAAAACTGAATATGGTACAAAAATTGCATAGTCGAGATCCTAAAATTGAGTGATGCGCATTTGAAGCATTTGAGCTGTGAGATAATCTCCTGGGCAAAATATTTTCTTGTTTCAACGTCAAAAGAAAACACAAAGGCTTTGAGGGGCGCAAATACAATTTTAACGATTGAGACATTAATTAAAAAAACAATTAAAATAAAACGCATAATAAAAAAACATATTAGCAGAGATCTAAGAAAACATACAACCTAATTAAAATGATGAATAGATATTACTTGATGCTTTATGAATACGTTCATCAGAAAAAGAGTACCACATGTGATGTGGTATTATTTCAACGACATGGAACAGCGCTATATAAGTCACATCGGCAGCACAAACAAAGCGAGTTCGAGTCGCGCTCAGGCTTCGTATTCTTGTTTTGATGGACGGTGAAACCTTAGAAGAAAATCACTCAGCTTTTGCTCAAAGCAACTACGCACCGACTTCTATATATAACTCTAGGTGCCTTCGGTGAAATGAATGCAATCCTGACAATGATTCTTGCTTGTTTTCATTTGTCGTTAGATATACCATGTAAAATACAATATATTTCGTTTTAAAAGTAGCTTCTCTAATCATTTACGCTTGCATTAAGAATGTAAATGATATCGAAACGATTGAACCATCCAGGAGAATTGCGTGCACATCAAAATAACGTGAAGTTTAATCAATTCATAGCAAACTAGTGATTTGTTTCTCCGAAAAAAATTAATTTTCAATCACACTAGCAATCCACATTTATAAATAGTCAGGGAGCTTGAGATGTGTGGGCCCAACGCATTGTTCTAATTCAACTGCCATCATTGTGCGAAGTAATATTTCATGAAGAACAATTGGCATAATTATCTTATAAAAAGTTTTGGAATTTTGATTAAATAAAATGTCTGGTTCAGAATTGCACTGTTAACACTGACGCGACTAAAAAATGCCCTGAAATATACATAATATATTAAAGTTTGTGTACGTCAACTTCTGAGAGACGCAATTAAGATGCTTAAGCCTACAAGTCGTGTTTGAATACATGCACTGGAGTCAATCTCTACCCCTCTAAGCAAATGACGTAGAAACGTTGTTGAATATGAAGTGGTCTCATAGAAACTACGTTTATTCAACGTTATTTCGACTTAAAGTGCCTGGTGGGAATTAAGAATGCTGTCCTCCGGAAGCAATAAACAGCATAGCAACAACAATGGTTATATTAATAATAATAATAAAATAATAGCGGTTTCAGCGTTTATTAGGCCGTAGGCCTGTCGCCGATTCTTAACATCGCAGAACATTCACAGCATTTTGCGGTCTCGAACTCGCATCAATTCTGCTGTGCTTAACCGCCCGGCCTCCTTGTCGATTCTAACCAGAAACTGGCGCACAGAGCTGGGATCGAACCCGCGCCTCTCTGCGCCAATCTTGGACCTCTGAACTTTAACCACTGGGCCAGAATATAAAGTAACAATAATGATAATAAGTACAATAGACCATCTCGGGCTGTTCATTTTCACAATGTGACGATGACTCGGCTGTGTAGAAATTTGGGGTGAGGGGCCAAATTCGATTCTGGAAAACCGAATGCAAGATCGCCATTAGATTCTTTCGCGTGTCAGGTACCGCATTATATATACAATCCTAGATGAACTGTTCAAGCTCTCCTTACGGGAAGGGTTCTTCACAATCTCAGGTATAAAATATGTCGAAAATTTGCAGCGTGATGATAATCCAAGTGAATAAGAAGAATTGTGCGAAGTGAGCGCCATATAATAAACGGTGTTCTTACCGAGATAAGGGCTGCCTTGCAGTATTGGTTTCCCATAATACAAATTACAAGTTTTCTTTTCATGACTGGAGGAGGCCTTCCTTCTAATTGCTTTACTACAACTATTGGTAAAGAGTAAGCCCAGCACCGCGAAGTCTTAGAAAACCGTTCGTGGCACCAACAAAATTTCGAACTGAGATAAAAAATAATTCTGCCAAAATCTCGAATACTTGTAAGAAAAAGGCAGACGATAAGATCATAAAACAGCAAATACACGAAGTATTATAAAGCCAAAGTCTAGGTATAGGAGTATTAATTCTCAAAAAATAGAAAAGATGCTTCTGAAAAATGCAAGTAGCAAAAAGACTCGACATTATTGATTATTTTTTAACAGATTGACTGATGATGATTTAATCTAGAATGTTTCTTTCTCGGATTGTGAGTAAAGAAAAATTTGCTCATCGGAAAAATATGCAACCTCGCGATAATAAACAGAGATTAATTAATTTCGTGAAGGTAGAAGAGGTCGCACACAAATATACCAGGAGGAAGGGAAAACGCTCATCTTTAATATAATTATCGAGTTATTTCATATATGCACGACAACTATGCAATATGTATGTCATTTGCTCTTACATTCTGTCTTACACGCTTCATCATTAAACTCCTTCTCGTGTGGAACTATATCAAATAATCCGATGAAAACAACCAGTATATTCACGAAACGCAATCCAAAATAGATATTACTGCAATACACTTAACGAAATATGAAGTTTGTGAATGGAATGCACGCAACGATGACGCTCATCGCGATACCTGAAACCGAACAGAAAACAAAATTTAAACCGTTAGTTTACTTAAATGCCAGCATTTTCCGAATAAAATCTTACGTCAGAATGTCGTGCAAAAATTAAAGTAAATGAATGTGAACGTAAAACTGGATCGTGTGTTAATCGAATTTGGGGGATCACAAAAAAAATATAAAGAAAAGTTATGAGCTTATGCGAAACTATCACCGACAAAAACTTCGATAAAGGTGTAACAATAAATTAAACCATGTTGAGGAGCTAATTTTTTTTATTTTCATTTACTTTCAGTAGAGTTCTGATACTTTTTACGTCGTAATTAGGAATCAAATGCGGAGCAGACTTAGTTCAATGGAGGCAAGATATGTTCAGCGCATACAACATCCGTCCTAGAGCACGCAAGCTTCAACTTCAATCATTAATAGTTTGGTCGAAGACAGCGATGATCTCATGCAAGAGAAGGAGTGCATAGTTTGGCAATAGTTTCCTTCAGCCTTTTGCTGACGTCCACAGAACTTGCACTCATAAAAGATAAGATCAAATGTGGTTGCGTTTGAGGACTCGTGTTTTGATAGCAATAGCAGACGAGCATCGCAATCCACTAACAGTTGCAAACAAAAGTTCGCGATGGATCTCGCAGACTCGATCAAAGCTATAATGTTTGTTGAACATCACGGGAATGTATGAATGGGTCCAAGCTGACGAGTTTTTTTCAGGAATTTAA